TTCCCGCAAACTCGTTAATTCAAACGCACGTTTATCTTGACAGGTTGTATTTATAAAATACACTTTAGCGCCATCTGGTGGAATAAATGTTGCATTATCATCGTTACCAGAATTGCCTTTAAAAAACTGACAAAACTAAAGAAAGTATTTTTTTTTCTTTTTGTTATTTTTTCTCTTTCAATTTTTTTTTTACATTGCTACAGTTATTATCAGTTTTTATAAAACAATGATTACATACATATTGCTAGTAATGTTTAGTATGTATATTTTTGATTTTTTTTAACTGTTTTCGAACAATTATTTTATAAAACATTATTATAGTAGTTGTGTTTTTAACTATTTTAGTTTCGTATTTTATTCCATTACTTTACCATTTAATAGTTTTTCTTGTTTTATCTGAAGTAATGTTATCTGAAGTAATCCATACATTCACAGGAAAATCATGTAAACTCACCATCCTATTCATAAACCAAAATGTTTTTATGTATTTAATTATTTGACATTAAAACCAACATTTAACTTTTTATTAGATTGAAATATGTTATTGAAGCAGTTAACACATACTCAGTATTTCTTTTCATCAATAATAATTTACATAAATCTTCTGCTTCTTCTTTTATTATAATGACAATAATAAAAACAACAACAATCATCATTGCTTGTTTTAGATTCTAAATTTTTTACAACTTATTCAAATACAACATAAAACTGTTCATTAGAATATCACTTTGCTAAATGTAATAACACCATAAATAAACCTGTTTAGTGTTCTAGCTTGTTTTCCTAATCAAAGCCCATGTGTGATTTTAAGAAGCTTATAATGTCATCATGGTGCAGCACAGACAACATGCTGATAAAAGTGTTTAATCAGCTCTTGTTTGTGTTTTCCAAGAGGATTTGCTCGATTTCTATGGGCGTTTGTGCAGACGTGAGTGAACTGCTGTCACACTGCAGTCCAACAGAGGGCAAAGTGCAAGCAGAGCTGTTATAGTATACTTTATCATACTCTCCCCCCTTTCTTCCTCCTCCCACCTACTGTCAAATCTCCACCTCGACTTTTTGTATTACCATTCACTCTGACTTTCACTCATCTTGCAGTGCTGTGCTGTAACTATAACACCTTGTTTGCTGCAGTTAAGGTAAGCCCCTTTTCTGTTGCTTCCTGACAGGTTAGAGAAAGGTTTGAACCAATGTTGACCTGCCCTTTGTTCCATTAAGTTTTCTTTTCCCCGCATGTCAATGGGACTAAAGGGAGAGCATAATAGGTGGTAGATCTTACTGACAAATGATTCTACTGTAAATGTGAAGATTAATTTACTGACATATTAAAGCATAGAGTCCAAACAGAGGTGTTTGCTGAGGTATTCAGATCCCATTTCATCTTTAGCTCAGCACTAAAAGGCAGCTTGTGTTGGAAGGAGTGAAATCCCTGCCAATAAGTTCTTTACTTGAAAAACCTTGATTCTAATCTAACCTATGTAAATATTGCTATTGTGATTACTTTGAGATTGAACATAAATAAGTAGAGTTTTTGAAAGTGTTTAGAGAATAGGAAAAATAATTGCCTAAAATACAGTTAGACACTAAGTTTGCAGTCATGCAAGGGTGCTGTTCATTGAAGTTCTTGGTACATACTTTCAGTTTCAAATGGTCAGAAGGTTTAGGTAACAGTCAAACCTTTTTAAGTACGCTGCGTCCAACCAAGCAACTTACTTTCTTTGGAAAACTTGTGAATTGATAACTTTTGAAACTTGGGGATTAATAGAATAAACAAAGGTGGGTGATCTGTTTGGAAATTCCATTCTATAAAAGTGGGAAATAGAGACTGTAATTATACGTGGCTAATTTAGTAGTCAAGGACTTTTCAGTGTAGCATGGTTGAAACACACACTTCTTGTTTTGGTTTCTCAGGCTGAGCTTGATATTTTTAGATGTACTGCAGTAAAAAAAAAAAAAAAATGTTGGAAAAACAGCCCAGAAATACATCATCGAAGAGAAGTCCCTCATTAAGATTGCTTGCTTTGCCCAGTTAGCTGGTTTGGCATGAACTCTCTGGAGAACAGGGATAAACTAAGACATGAGAAGTGAGGGAACAGGCTGGGAATAAAAAACCCAAACTTTCACGAGAGAACTAAAGTCAAAGCCCAGGACTTAAGATGACAAGTTTTGAACATGGGTTGAAAGTCACCACTTCCCTTTGAACAAATTTGGTGATTTTATTTAAAGTTTTTCTTTGAAATATTTTAATCTTTCTTGAGTTCATTTCAAATAGTTTGGTCTTCAGATTGAATCTGTTTTGATCAGATTTTTCTCTCAGTTTTATTTTTTTATCTTTCATACTGTGTCTTTTTTTAGTTGCAAGCATCTGTGTTTTAATTATAGTTTAGTCATGTTTTATTTCAATTTTTTTAGGAAATGACAATGCTTTTAGTGTCCTTGAAGCATCTGCTCGTCACTTTCACTTCTATGTTGGTTGTTTCATGTCTCTTTGCAACTACTTAGCATTTTTGTTTACCTCAGCAGTAAGCAGATCTGTGGAAGAGGATTAAGGCCACTGAAAAAAAAAGTCAACTGATTTTTACATTTTATTTCAATTTAATATTGGGAAAAAAGTCAGAATTCTGAGAAGAAAGGCAGAAATTCTGAGAAAAAGTCAGAAATTCTGAGATTAAAGTCAGAATTCTAATTAAAAAGTCAGAATTCTGAGAAAAAAGTTAGAATTCTAAAATTAAAGTCAGAAATGCTGAGATTAAAGTCAGAATTCTGAGAAAAAAGTCACAATTCTGAGATTAAAGTCAGAATTCTGAGAAAAAAAAGTCAGAATTCTGAGTTTTTTCCCATATTAAACTTTTTTTTTCAGTGGCCCTAATCCTCTTCCGTACAGATAATTTTAAATATCTATTTAAATCTCTTTTCTTATACTTTGTGAAGTGCAAGCTTTTGAAACTTGTGGAGACTGTTTTTAGGTCAGTAGCTAACATCCATGTCATTTTCTGTCATCTCTTTTGGGTCCTTTGCAGTCAGTTTCAAAAATCTATATATTGTCTGTATATTTTATGTTTTTCTCAATAAGATCTTTTTAATTTGGACATTTTGCATTTACTAACACTGCTTATTTTTTGTCCACTTTCAGAACTTTTGAGGTTTTAACAGATTGCTTAATGTTTATGTACATTATTTAGGGGTTAAGGTCATGAATCCCACAAAGTTAAAATTTAGGAGAGATAAACTAGAAGAGACACTTTTCATTTGAAGATAAGAATAACTTTGCTTTGAATTATATGTGGATCTCATGAGATATTTTAATTACGTGTTTTAATATATTTAGAAGTATCTATTTGTTTTTTTTTTTGCTTCCCTTTTCTGAGAATAATTATATCACAACCCTAATTTGGGCTTTGGATCTTATTTGTTGTTTCATCATAAACCTGTTTCTAAACATGAAATCAAACCCGTGTACATGCTTTTGCACAAATGATGCAGCCCACATGATGTGTTTCAAAAATGGCAACAAAATAAGTAACGAAAAATATGCAGATTTTTAAAAATCTTCCCAAAATGTCTGATTTCTGAATGAGTTTCATACACTCTTTTATTTCTTCGAGCTGCTGTCGAGTTTCCCAGTAGGGTGTTATTGTCTGTGTGGCTGGTATGAGGGTTGCATCACTGTTTACTCTGCGGTCACATGGCCTGGGTGAACAAGAGTTTAACCACTGCTCTTTGTGTTTTCCTTGCCGACAAAGTGTGTGTCAGTATCACTCCGGAAAACAGTTTTATTTTCCTCCTGTTCCAAATACTGACATATACCCAGATACCACAGGGTTGGTGGTTTACACAAGAATGTGGAAGGAAGTCACACTCCTTACAACAGTTTCTAATCTCACCAAAAGGCTGCATGAGAGATAACCTATGAAAGTCTGGATCGAAAATTCCTGATTCCTGTTTATCAATGATGGAGCTTTTATGTCAGAATAAGGTTAACAGTTCTTGAAACTTGGAATTTAAATAAGGACAGGATCACTGATGTTTTACTGGTGAAAGCTTACTCTTGACATGGGTCTAAGAATCTTTTTGGCCACATCACCAGAATGACTCATGTAAGAAGTTAACAGTTTTATCTACAAATCGAAAGGGTTAAAGTCAGCTTCTGGAATGCAGCTTTGACTGGCATTTGGAGAAGGAGAAGATAATTAGCAAAGGGAATTTCAGAATATTGCTCTTCAAAACAGCATCTAAATTATACCATATCCCCAAGGTTTTGGTTAATTACCCCTAAGGATGACACTATCCATAGCTACTATTGATATATGAGCAAGACCTTGAGGTAATAGAATTTATTTGAAATCAATTTTGAAGACTCTCATAAGTGTGTTGATTAATTATTTTAAAATATAATTTTTTTTATTAGTTTTACAATGATAGGTTAACTTTTTTTCCAAATCACACGTCAACATCTTCTGTGTGATTTTACATTTCCTTTGACATTTGGAAGTACAAGAAAATACAAGAGAAGTTGCTTTAAACCAACTCAAAATTAATGGTGTAAAAAGATTACTGAAAAATCGCTGAAAGGATAACGGACCACCTTAACTGGACAGATGTAACAAAATATGACGCAAAATGTATTCCTTCTTAAGAAGATGTCTTGTTATTGAAATTTAAGTGTGTCTCTGAAGCCAAAAGGTCACATTTTATTGTCTTTGTCAGTTGTTCCAAATTTGTAATCTGCTGAGTTCATAAACTCGTGATTGGCGCATCTACTTTCTTAAATCGGGGGGGTTGTCAGTGACTAAGCTTTCTGTCGGCCTTGACCTCACTTTGTTTAGCAATATGGCCACAAAAGGAGATCCTAGGACTGATAAAATGAGAAATTTCCTCTTTAACACAAATCCCATTTTGTCAGTGAACTTATTTGGCAAAAGGTCTAAAACAAATGCTGTGTTAGAAACTTAGAAAGATCTCACATTCAAAAAGTTTTACCAAGTTCCCCCTCATGTTTATATGTATAAATACCCTGCGTCACATCCTGTCTTTTTTGCAGAGGCCAATGTAATGAAAACCTGTCATGGAAGAAATACAACAATTCGACCTGACATACGTCACAGAGCGGATCATCAGCATCATCTGTCCTTCTACATGTCCAGAGGATCTTTACTTGGAGAATCTGAGAAAAATTATCCCTATGCTAGAATCTAAGCATGGACACAACTACATGGTAAGATAATACTGTTTTGATACAAGCTGTTTACTGTCTACGCTTATTTTTCTTTATCTAAAATAAATCGTTGGAACTTTTTCCAAATCCAAACACAGATCAGTGTCTTTGAATGCAGAATATGAATGAAGAGGGATAATTGCATACATTTTCTTATTCACTTTTAACCAACAGATTTTGCCAAACTTAAAAGTTTATAACCAAGCAAAGAAATAAACCAGACAAAGATAACCATTCATTCAAAAAGCTCAAAAAAGTTACTTTTCAGAATTTAAGGAAAATAACTTATACAAAACCAATCTGGTGCTAAATGTCAATGCCCCTTAAGTTAGTTATAATTATTCACAGGTTTGGAAAAACCCACAAAACTACTGCATGAGTTACCTATACATACTGATAAATCCAGAAATCACATATATAACATACTTGATAGCAAGAGGTTAGCTAAACACAGCTCTTTATGCTCCTCTAAACATCATAAAGAACAAGTAAGGGGAAAAAAGTGCTAGTATCTGTCAGAAAAATGCCCTTTTTTAAAAAGATTTATGACCACAGCAAATAGTGATAACCATTATTTAACCACACAAATGCTTACCGACTGTGTCTGATCAGTAGCCGATGCTCCAGGACCAGCTGGTAAAGTAATCTTTTTTTTTAAACATGTTTGTATAAAAATTAACACATATTATCCCTGCTGTGTCTCCATGCTTTGGGATAAAACATCCAAATTGTGTTTTAGAACAGGAAACAAAGTCCCGCTGCTTTAGGACTTTGATGACATGTGTGAGTTGATTGAATTATGAAGTGTTTTCTCCCTAAAAAACCCTAAATGAAAAAATCCAGCTATGAGAGATCTTAGCTGACTGATATCTGATATTATATCCTTCTGAAATGCAGTGGAATGACATTAAACAGGCCAAACATGCTCAAAAATCTCCAACAGGTTTGACTTAAACAAATTGTGCAAAGAAGAACCAAATAATTTTCTGAAAACAGATTTGTTTTCTATTTGCTTTCCATGTATTTAGTGATTTTTGCCCTTTCTTAAAATGTGTTCAATGATCTAAGACATTTTAATTAAAAAAAAATGTAAACATGCACAAAATCTGCAAAGATAAATACCAGTTCACTTTACTATGTTTATCAAGTTTAAAATAGGTTGCTTCATTTCATTCTCCTCAGATCAGACTAAAGTGAGTGGCAGGGCACAATGAACGGCTGGTATAAGTGGGCTAGAAGGGCTAAGCCCTCCCTCTGGTTTCAATTAAAAAAATTAAATACCAAATAAAGACAAATAAAAAATGTAGCCTGTCACATTTTATCAAATCTACAACAGCTCAGTGTATTTTGTCTTTTCTAATGCAGCTCATCAACCTCTCCCAGAAGGATGACATTCTCACAAAAATGACCCACACGGTAATTATGATGTCTAAAAGTAACGGGAATCTCAGCTGCAGGGCTGTTTGGATGTGATGCTCCTGTTTGCTTCTTTCCTGTTAGGTTTTTAACACAGGTTGGCTGGATCTCTTAGCTCCAAGTTTGGATCAAATCTTTAACGTGTGCACAACAATGGAGAACTGGCTACAAGGTCATCCAAAGCACGTTCTGGTGTTACACTGCAGGGTAAACATAAGGGCACTACCCATTCACAGTAATGAGCTGATCTGTGTGCTGCATGGTGGGACTTACTATTTAAGCCTAAATCTGTTCTCAACAGGGGGATAGGGGACGACTTGGAGTCCTTGTGGCGTCATACATCCATTTCAGCAACATGTCTGCCAGGTAACACGTTTAAGAACAGATTTCTTGTACAACATAAGTCAATTTAATAAAATGCTGCTGTCATTTTTCACATCTCTGATTTTGCTGCTGTTTTCAAAAATCCATTTCTGTAAAAAAGTCCATAGCTGTATATTGGTTATTTATTCTCCAGGTGCACATATTTTTTTTTATTCTAAAAATTCTTAAGATTTGTTGAAGGTAGAAAGGTGTAGCACATTTGTTGTAAGTTTTGAGTTGATTTAGACAAAACATTCTCTTTGGCATTTCACCCTTTATGGGTTTTTGATGTGATTTAATTCCAATATTCTGTGTCTGCGTTGTTCAGTACTTTACTTAGTGCCTGCCATCTATATACTGATGTATAAATAAGGCTTGGTTTAGACCACTTTTACAAAACTCTACTGTTAGTTATATTTCTGAGTCTTATGGGTGTTGAGAAATAGATCAATTGTCTCTACTCAGCACCATTTACATAAAATGAATCTTGCACTATTACATTAAATTCGGTTGTTGAAGACGTAGAGATTTATTTTCGGGATGCATTAGCAATGCAGTGAGCCACCTGTTATAAGATTCTCCCCATCTTTTATTTGAGCTTCAATAAATCTCCCATGGGTAGATGATGTTGTTTTAGAGTCTGGGTTTGCAGTGTAGAGGACCATGGTGAGGTATATGCAATTCTGTAAGCCGAAGATGCTTCTCACTACATTCAGTGATCTGGAAATTGCTGTGCATTTATAGCACTATTTGGAATAATGTCAGCATATTTTTGGGGTTTATAGGGCCGGTAAAACAGCAAGGGAAATTGTTTCTTAATGATTTCTCATAATGTAGTAGAGCCGTTCTTTGCACCTAATGCAGGTTTACCAAGTCTGCTGGGATCCACAGACATTAATCTTATAAAAGGTTTTACCACTGGGTTCCTCTATCTCTTCCTTTCTTCTGAAAAACATTTTTTCCCCCAATCAAATCAAGACATTTACACCTGAAAAATAAGTATCAACGACAGTTATTACAGAACCTTGACAAAAAACAAAAAACAAAAAAAAAAATGTTCCACCTCAATTTGATACAGACATTTTGGTTTAAGTTGTATAATATTCTGAAAGAAATCCATACAAATTAGATGTACAAAAATATTGATTGTGTACTACTTTAATTTTTTTGGTTATGTCGGAAATCCCAGTCTTTGTCTGAATATTTTTAAAGCTTTCATCCTGAAGCTCATCAAGTCTTAAAGACATTCTTTAGGGGGCTCATTTATCCCTGCAAAGAAAAGAGGGGGTGGAAATGAATGAACCAGAATTAAAGATACAAAAAAGAAGGACACTTCAAACCTGATGCTCTGTGGTCCTTAGTCAAAGATCCTGCTGTTTTGATGTAGATGGCATCTGATGGGGTGCAGGTTTTAAAGGTTATTCATCCCTTTACAGAAATTACAAGGACATAGCTTCAATTCATCCTCAGATAGCAGCAAAGTTCAGCTGGATACAAATCAAACTCATGCTCATTGTGTGTGTGTGTGTAGACATGCTGATCATGGCTGAACAGTTGGGAAATATCAGATTGTGACCATTGTCCCTGTGCGAATGACCCAAGAGCTTGTGATTGCAGGCATGTTGGGGCTTGTGAAAAGTTTAGAGCTAGAAAATACGCAAATTTAGCCAAAAGACACCATCCATTTTAGGTAAAAACCTCTTACAGCTTATTTAAAGATAATTTAGAGCTTTTATATGATTCTGAATTACATGATTTTAGGCAGATACCTCTGCAGGCTAATTCCCTGTTTCAAACCATCTGCAGCCCGGCTAATAACAGCATATTTATGAACATGTGCATTTTTCTCAGTGCAGACCTCTCTTTGGACCACTTTGCCATGAGGAAGTTCTACAATGACAAGCTCTCTGCTCTGATGATCCCCTCCCAGAAACGGTGAGAAACTCAAACCAGCAAGGGGAACTATGACCCACCTTCAGTCTTAATGTTTAATTATCAGATTTATCCCCAGGTTACTGAAATATAAGTAAAACATATAAAAATTCAATCTAGATTTTTATTAGTTTTTTTTAAATTTTTTTATTCATTAGTTTATCTTTTCCAGTTACCAAACAGATGCTCACTTTGTCTCTTCAGGTATGTTTGGATGGTGGGCAGCATGTTAAAAGGAGGGCTGAGGATGAACCCCTCTCCGTCTTTTCTGCTCTGTGTTGTTCTTTATGGTATCCCCAAAATAAGACCAGATGGAGGTAAGCAGCTAGAAGACACCAGCTCACAAGTGTCTGCTCCATTTTTTTAAAGGTGGTCTATATAGTTTTCTGGCCATTTATCCATTTAATCCTCCTGCCTTTTTCAGGATTAAATGGATAAATGGCCAGAAAACTATATAGGACTAAGAACCACCAACCTAGTTGACTTGAAGCATCGTGTGACAGATGGCTCTTTTTTGTTTCTGAAAAAGAGAGAGAGATGATCACTCACAAATTTGTCAAGCCACTAACTTTTGAAGTTGTTCATCTATGATAATCTGTCTTTTTTCTCAAAACATAATCTGAACATTTTAAATAGTGTTTTCTTTTAAACTACAAGATGTTATTTTACTCTCATAGGGTGCTGCCTGTTCCTTAGAGTCTACCAAAGTCTGCATGCCGTTTGCACATCACCTGTCTTGTAAGGCTCATCATTTTCACACTGTAAGTGCTGTTAGACAGAGGACAACAATTAATATGTGTTTGCATCCATCTCAGCAACATCAATGCTGCTCAGACTGATCGGCTCTACATTGTGCTTCAACCGGCCCAACTACTCAAAGGGGATATTATGGTAAGAAAGTCAAAGTGGTCTGAGTGTTTGTTCTCTGCCAACGACTTTACATATGTTTTCACCTGTCAGTCAGCAATTGCCCCCCTTTTGGCCAAAGTGTTGTAAAATGTATGATAAAATGCATTTTACCTTTGCGAGCAAAAATGCACGCTAAGGTACTCTATTGGAAAACGAAATGTATATTAATTGACCCTCTCAGCCAAAAATCCCTGCTAAAATTTCCCTTCAGGAATCGAAATGCATTTTAAAATACGCTCTCTGGAGCAAAAACACTGGCTGAAGTGCCCTTTTGGGAGCCAAAACACATTACAGTGCCCTCTCAAGAGCCAAAACGCATGCCTAAGTTATCCCTCGGGATCCAAAACACATGCTAAAATGCCGTCTACAATGGTGTTGATGTGCTACAGTACATGTGTTCTTTTTTTTTCTTTCTGCCCCTGCCCTTCTATGCACGCCACTGACAGTGGTAGAAAGAGCGCAAGTCCACAGATGTTTGGAAGTGTGTTGTTTATCCAATTGTAGTCGTTTTTGTTTCTTTTCTTATGTCATACCATTGAGAAACATAACACTAAACAGTAAACATGACTTCTGTCAGCTTATTCAGCTTATCATTCTCATTTTTAGGTGGTTTGTTATGATAAAGACAGCCAGTCAGGGAGTCGCCAAGTGGTTTTGCGCCTCCAGTTCCACACTGGCCTGGTAGCTGGACACTCCCTCTCTTTCTGCAAGGCAGACCTTGACTGTGTTGCTGAAGGTATTTATAACCTGCTTTGTTCCAGCTCCACTCAGCTCTCACAGGCTTTAATCTGTAACTGATAAATCTATTGGCTCTACGCACACCTAAACGAACACAGGAGCCAAAAAACCAGCGAAGGAATAATGGAAACATGTCCAGCTGTCTCATTTTTCCTATCAATATTCCAGATTCCCGTTTCCCAGATGGTGGAAAAGTGGAGCTGCTGTTCTCAGATAGTCCAGAAAAGATTGCAGGTGAATTATTCAATGGATTATTAATATTGTGATCAAACTTTTAATTATATAGATAATATTTAACCGTGTAGAATACTTGATACTTGTTGTGCTTTTTCTACAGGTTGTTGTTGGTCTCCTGACACAACAGAATCTGTTATTTTCCTCTCTATATATATTAGGTTGACTTGGACACAGTAGAATTACTTTGCAGTATTTAATAATTCAGTCAAAGTTATTTCTCTTAGAAAAACTTTATTCTCCTCTGATGTGATAGTGTTAAGGTGTTATGCCAACTTTTTGCAGATTTGTCTAAAACGATGACCTATTAGGGAAAATGTTCTAATCCTTGTTACAGATATAAAGCAACAACAAAGATGTGGAAGAAGTAAAGATTTAAAGAAAATGCACTTTGTTGCACCTCTTGGGCTGATATTAATCTCATGAGTTATTGGATGTTTAGCAAAAAGAATTAGAGTTAGTCTAATTTGCATTCCTAACAATTTTACACCTAAATGATTCTCAGGTTAGATTTTTCTTCCCTGCAAAATATACAGTTAAAAGATTCACTGCTAAATGTTCTCAAATAAATAAATAAATATATATATATATATATATATATATTTTTTTTTTTATTGTGTCCAGTCTGGCAATGTGGCAATAGGAATAATTGTCTTGATGCCAAAAAGAGCCCAATAGATTTTACTTTCACAAGTGGAGCAGTAGGGCTATTGCCATAGTGTTCCGCTTGTTTCATGCATATAAATTGCTTTATCATAATTATGCAGGGAGTTCTACACATTATGTGGACACTGCAATGTAAGAAGAACAGTAGAGGTAAAACAGAAAAAAAGGACAAAAGATGATAGAAAGAGGAGATGAAAGGGAAAATGATAAAACATTTTCAGTCTGCTTCATCACCTGCAAAGAGATGTAAAAATAACAGCACAACCAACAGACATGGCACCAGACATACAATAAAGTAACACCTAGATACTTATATATTCTCAAATAAATTAACCAAAAACAAATACGTGAATATCTTAATATCGCATAATCAGTCATCTTGGTATTTTTTTTGGGTCCCAAAACAAACAGTTTTGCAGTGAAAAAGAACTCAGACTTCATTTCATAGTTAAGTAAAGCAGAGTTTTCTTGCAGAACCAGACTGTGGATGCATATTTTTCTTTTTTTTGCCATGAAATTTTATTCTCACTTTTTTCATTGTTCTTAAAGAGTGTTTTTTTTATTTTTTTTTTTATAAATATGTAGTATAAAAATGTTTTTTAATATACTATAACAGACCATATAAGGTTAAACATATGGGGTCACTGGGACAGGATAGGACAAGTGCTGTTTAGGAAAAGACAGAGTTGAACAGAACCAGTGTACTAGAAAAACCTTTCATGGAACATAAAACAAAGTACACACTACAGCAGAAAAAAAAACACAGAGTATAAGATTAAGGGAGTATTATTTACACAATACCTGCAAATAAATGTAGACACGGGTTTAAGGTTAGAGGTGATTATGCCCTCCAGCACCCTAATATAATAGCAGCATAACTACAATAGCACATAATAGTCTTGGTCATTCAGAGTTCATATAAAAATCGAATTCTTAACGCTTTAAGCTCTTTTCAACCAGAAGGGGGCATTGTTGAACACCATACCAATGAACTTGGCCCTCAGCAGCAGCAATTTGTCTCTTAAACTCTCAACAGGAAGCAATGGAAGGGTTTTATCAGACAAACATATCACAGAGGAATTTAGATCAGTAGATACTGCGTGCAAGGGGAGAGACGGAGACAAACAAAACAGGGATATATCAGAGTGTAACAGTTCATGTTTTGATTTTAAGCAACTGGAATAAGATGAGTGGTTAAAATCTATTTCCTGTTATATAAAGTGACTGGTGTTTGTTATTTTTTTTATGTCCAGGTAGAGAGCTGTGGTTAAATGAGCGCTCTGTGACAGTGGACTATGATACCTTGGACCCTTTGGTCAGAAGAGACTCTTTTCAGGACTGGCCTCATTCACAAGCAGGTAAACTGACATTTTAAATTTTTTTCCCTCCATGCTCTGTGATTTACTCCAGATTTGAGTTAATTCTCTTAATATTGCGTCCTGTGACTTGAAACAATAAAAATATGGAAACTACACTGTTAAAAAAACTAAAAAACCCAGATGATATACTTAAACAATTTAAATAGGGAAACATTTTAACACAATAAGTTGAAGTAAAACTACCTAGAGTATGTCTATTCCCGAGAAGTCATATTCAAAAGAACATGTATATAAACATTATTGGAAATATTCATGTTTATAAAGTTACTTTTCTGTGAATAAAGACAAGCCTTTAGGTAAAAACAAGATGATAACCAAAATGTTCTCTCTCCTCTTTATTTATTGTATACTTTTTAAATTTTCTTAATCTTTAGTCTCCAGCAAATGCATTTTTAAAAGTAGTGTTTTTATTTTTAATTTTAAAGTATTTTAGATATGTAGTATATGTCTTATCTTTTGTAATCTTTTTTTAAATATATTTATCCCCTGGTTTTAACATTTATATAAGGCTGGTTATCTGACCCATAAAATGTCAACAACAAGTATGAGAACAAGATGAACATTAAAATGTTTTTTATCCATCCAGTCGTTGTCTATACCAACTTATTAAGGGTCAGGGTGGGTTAGTGTTTATCTCCAGGAGTCTAAATGGGAGAGGAGTTCCACAGACAACCACAGTAAAATGAAACAGACATAAACACTTAGACCTTTAGATAGTTGAGATATATAATTTTGAATATTTTATACTCTATATTTTTGGGATCATTTTTAAATGTATAAATATTGAAGATACTTTTTTTCTTTTATACATTTTTGCTTTTCTTCATTTTTTTCTTATATACCTGCTCATATTTGTTTTTTTTTTTGTTTTGTTTTTTCCCAATGGATTGAGATTTAGAGCTTTTTCAGCTTGTCTTCTGCTTTCTTGGAAATAGGCTACTGTTTTAATAATGTTTTTTTTTTTTAAGTAGAGACTTTTAAGCCGCATGAGAATTAATATGGTAACTGTCATCTGTAAACATCTGTAATGACATCTGCTTAATGTGAAGCATCCCAGTGATGCAAAGTATTACAGTAGTCCAGTTAAGCATTTTTTTTTTATCAGTTCTGTTTATCTTAATAACATAGACTAGGTAAATATTCCTACCATTCCACATCACTATGAATCCATTGAAAATTTAACACATTCCAACCATTAACCTAAAGCCAAGAACATTATTGTTTTTCTCAAAAACACGCTTCATAAGAGATACATTAGATATTTTCTTCTAATGATTTTCTTTAAATTTTAGCTTGCAGTAGTGGTGGGATAATATATAAAATTCATGGGTGGGGTCCCATATCAACTTATTTTGCACAGGGCCTGATGGCAGGCATAGATGTCTGAGTGTAAAACCTTTTCATAGAAAGAGACAGACATTTTTTTGTGGTTTATCTGCTACTCATCACATAACGTCTTGTAATTGCAGATGTTTTAGTTAGAAAGATTTTTTTTGACATCTCTAGGGTGAAGCATGAGGGCTATTTAGACAGCAAACAGCTTTGGAGGCTGTGGAGTTTTTGAGTTTTCAGTTCTCCAGAATAAAAACCTCCAGAATAAAAACCCCAACACAAAATCCCAAAATCCCACAGCAGGCAGCTGAAACAATGGCTTTAAACTGCAGCTGAGGTTTCAGTTCCAGCTGTTTTATACCATGGCTAAATCTGCCTCTGCCAGCCGTGTAATTTAGATTTAAAGACGTGAAAAAGTGGCACGTAAACATGGAAAACACACAGACACACAGAGGACTGCAAACAGGATTCTGGTACTCATGCATGTGTGGTTTTGGACCCCAAGTGTTTCTACCTCATGCAGCTTTCTCCTCTACTGCTTCTAACACCTTGTCCCCTTATCTTCCTTAGTCTTTCTATCTGCACTCCTCTCAGGTTCAAGTTGCAGGTTGCAATTTGTCCAGTTAATTCCCATCCCCCTTTTCCTCCGGAGTACGCCTCCATGTTTACATTCTCCTCTCCAAATCTGGGCAACTCAAGGTCCTTGTGGACTTCTTTCCCTTCCTTGAAAGTGCATCATGTGTTCAGATCACGCTCTTCTATGAATGTGTATGTAAGGTTAGTGAATGATCCACCCTCTGGTTTCCTTCCTTTCCTGAGATGAAGACGCATGAGTGCACCCTCAGTCAGCTACCTGTGTTGGCTGGGACAGGATGCAGGGGGGGAGGGACAGAAAAATAGAAAAAGAAAGAAGCAAAGCTTTGAAGGCGGGGATTTGAAGTGCAGTGCAGCAACATGAGAGAGAGGAAGGAGAGAGTATAGGAGAGGAGGGAGGATACCACAGGGCTCTTAGTACCTCAGGAGACGCTTGTCTAACTTCTACTGAGCAGACGAAAAAAAAACAGAACCAGATAGAAAAGCTTCTCTGGAACTTTTCATGCTGCTTTTATTCTCATCTTTCTCTTTCCTTTCTGCCTGTCATCCGTTTCTCCTCCTCTTTCTGCAACTCCGGAGGAAAGCTTCAGAGTATTTCCATCCTGTTTCCAGTCAGCAGAGCGGACAGTGAAAGTTTCCTGCTGGCAGTGGGTAAAGTAACCCCTTCCTTTTATTTCCCTTAGGACAGATTAATTTGGCTTTTTTAAATTTCTGGTTATTAGTTACTGATCATCACTGTGGGAAAAAACTATGGGGAGATTTTAAGAAGCCTCTTATGCATTTCTGTTTTATTGCTTCTCTGCCCTCCAGAAGCTGCTCTCAAACAGCTGTGGTATGTACTACAGTAGTTACTGTACAATGTTTTCCTACTTTTTTTTTTTTAAATCAGACAACTTTACCTGGAACAGAGCTTCCTTTTTATGCTGCCCATTTCTGCCTGAATCTGTTTTAAGATTTTAACCACATATAGAAAACATCAAACCTGAAGTGAAATATTCAGTACACAAATAAGAGAGAAATGGAGAAGTTTAAAGAGCTAAAAAACTTTCAGGTGTGTTAGTTGCTGGTTATGTTGGGGCAAAATGTCAGATAAAAAACATAAACAAAATGTCATTATGCAAATTCGATTAAATTCTTACAAAACAGACATACAAGTTCTCCATGTAGAATAGAATACTATATCTTTGTAGTAATTAGATAAAAAGTAATAACACTCATTTTAGAGAGATTATTAACACATTAGGTAATACATTACAAGTATTCATTTGTGTTCATTTTGATGATCATCAACAGGTAATAATAAACCCACCTTTTTAAATCCACATCTGACCAAAGAAAAGGGATTTTCAATACAGAAATTGCCTTCACAATTGTGGGAAAGACTAATGATCTGACAGCTGCAGGGGACAGCCGTCGATACAAAGGAATAATGGCTGAGGAATTTTTCCAGAGTTTGAAGTGTTTTCCTTAAAAATAGGGAACAATGAATGGGAACACATTTTCACTGTTATCAATGTAGAGGATGGAGCTGGAGTAAAAGTTAAGTTTTGTTTTCTCTGCCATATGGATTCTGACTCTTTTACTCATGCCGTCCTGATGCACACTAAAGTCTAATAAATTGACCTTTAAAATATCTTGGAAACTGATTGCCTTTACTAATAAAACTTTATATAGCTACTACTTTTATGTTTTCAGCTATTTAGTGTACTGAAGACTTTGGTGTATGAACCTATTTTTATGAAGTTTGGTGAAGGTAGTTCAAATATTAAGCTATCAGTTTTCAGGGATCTTCCCTTGAGGAATCAAAATATTCTTTAGATTTTTTCTCATGTCATCAGTGATATAGTCTTGTTTTTCCATTTAATACGAAATAACTCATGAACAGCTTTTAGAGTTTAGGAAAAAGATATCACCAGTTCTCTCAAGATAATGATCTCTGAAATATGAAGCAAACAGCAGCTATCAATACATCATCTCAAAAGTTATACAACATCTGTTTAATTATTGATTAGACACATTTAATTGTTACAGCATCATTGCCAAAAAGCAATCAATGAGGGCCCACAAGTCTCCACCCTTTTTTAATGCTTAACTTTTTCGTTTGGATACAACTTAAATATCTTGAGAAGAATGTTCTATCCAGCATTTCACAGCACTTATTTAAGATAGTGAGTTGATAGAGTATCGAGTTCTGCTCTCTTGAAGTCTTTCAGCTAATTCATCATTGTAGGTTACGGTGTAAGGCTTTGAAAGAGTAGGACTCTTGTGGATGCAAAAGTATGAATTTTAATTAATCAAACCCCTCTGAGTTGAAGGAATTTTACTCTTAGCTCATAGAATAATAGCTCATCAAAAGGGTAATTTGACTCTTTTTAGAGAGGGTTCAAATGTTCTCTGTGTCTAAGAAAAGTTTTATTGAATTTGAGTAAATTCTATGTAGGCAATTTTCCTGTGTACCGTTATAAAAAGAGTAAATCATGAAAGGTCTTTGCTAAACAAGTTGGCTTTTATTAAGTGCTGCATTAAATGACATTAACTGAAAGTTGAGTGGAAGGAAAAAAGGTGTTAGATAATTGTTCACAAACAAGAAGGATTATTTCAACCTTTTGAGGATTGCAAAGCAAAGCATATCTAAGAGTTTTAGAGGAGATCAACTAGACATGAACTGCAAGTGTTGCATTTTATGTTTTAAACCTCCCCTGAAATAGAAAGAATATAAAGCAGAGACTTATTTAGCCTAGATGAGAAAAGGGGTTTTTATTCAGTGGTGTAAAGTCCTGTGTCCATGTGAAAGGCATAACTTGTATTATGTTTGAAAATCAATATTCCAGACATTTGGAGGAAAAGTGGAGAGCTATAGAATCAGTTGTCTAACAGGGAAGTTTAGAGTACCTCACACTTCCCCTCTGCAAAATACAACGGATATGCAGCTGTCTTAGCAGGAATTTGGACATTTTCAGTTTATAGTAAAAATACCAGCTTTAGTGACCATGGTATCATTGAGCATGTACTGTTAGCAAACCTTCTTGAGTATCCGTGGAGTTTTTTTAAAAAAAAGGAAGATTTTAAACACCAGACCCAGCAATTCAGATGATCTGAAGGCTGCTAACAAGGCTTCTCTACCGCTTCAGCAAAACTACAGGCTTATTTCCACAGCACACATATTACTGTAAAATGACCTTCATTGTTTTTCAACTATCGTATATATCAGGCATTTTAAAGCATAGTTGATTTTTGGAATTAATTTGATGAACTGCAAACACAAAAAATCCTAAAGAAACTAATGTGAGCAGGTTAGCGTGAGTGCACCACTTACTGGCTGGGAGGATTTAAACTTGTCATTAACGTCTTCAAGTGTTGAAGGTTTGCAGTGTATGTTATGCTATTTTTGAGCTACTTTGTTAAATGAATACTGCAAAGTCAGTTACTACAAAGCTTTTGATTTTCGTTGTTTACTCTAAATCTAGTGAATAGAGTTCAAAATTAGCAAAGAAAAAATTAAATGGCTTTTGTTAAATGGGAATTTTCTTGACCTGCCTGGGGTTGTTTTTTCTCCTTTTTTACTTATATTGCATAGTAATCTAAATATCTTCTGTTGAATAAAAATGAAGTGCGTGCTAAAGTTAAAATATGTGGGCTATTCCAAAAAAAAAATTATAAAAATAAAAACAATCCACTGGACTTTGTTTCCAAGTTTTAAGATGTTTCTGTTCCCATCCAGGAAGCTTTTTAAATTCAAAATGTCAGGAATAGTGTTGAGTTCCAGGTTTTATACAGTAGCCCATAAAGCCTCAAGCTCAATGCTATTCCTGACATTTTGAATTGATTCAAACTTGGAAATAAACTCCAGTGGATTGTTTTTAATATATATATTTTTTTGAATGACTATGACCTGGATGACGGAGAATCTTCACCAGAATATGTGGGCTAGTTTGGTTTTATATCCTACATGGTGGGAGATCTGTGGATCAGATGTCTTATTTCACGCCAGGTGTGAGTTATCACACACTCACCCATGTCTGACCACAGCTAGACCACTGTGACAGACACGTCATCCTCTTTTTGACACGCAGACTCACAGTTGGTAATGTCCATGTTAACAAAAGGGGCCTTGTGTTATCTACACAGTGTTTGTTTAAAGTCATGAATCAGTGATCATGGTAATGCAGGTTGGGAGTCTGCACTGTGCATAGGACAACAAAGAGGTTTTAGGTGGAAATAAGATTAATATAAATCTTTTCAAGATGGGAAAACAATACAAATGATGTTGACTTGTTTTTCCTTATGTCATTTAACTAATTTAACTTGAATACAACTGCAACATATCTTTCAAAAGTAGAAATTGCTAAATTCTACCATGTTTTGCAAACTGACCAGAATGATTTCTACTTTCTTCCAGCTCCTCCTAATGTGTCTGAGTCTGGAAATGGAAATTTGTACTCAAGAGTAAGAAAGAAGAGTACTGAGGAGGGAGCTCTGTACCCTCCAACCTCTATCAGCCCGAGCTGCAGCGACAGAGCGCCATCAGCCAGCAGTGACTCGGGCCTCTCTGTTGCCTCACAGGGGAGGACTGGAGCCAGACTCAGAAGAGGAACCCCTCAGGACACCTGGAACCAGAAGCTGATCTTTGGGGCAGACTCAGAGCCGACCCAGGCTCTCCTGGAGGTCATGACTGAACTTGATTCTTCCTTTAATGGAGAGGGAAAGGTGTCTAAAGATGAGTCTGGACTGGGAGCCTCTATCAATGGAAAAGTTTCATCAAGCGAGAGAGAGACGGATATTCTGGATGATGAGGATGAAGGTTCTGTTTCAGAGGCTCCAAACCAGAGTAATGATTTCTCACTCCCATCTGGAAGTCTACCTGGCAGTCAGAGTTCAAATGAGTACTCCACTCACTCCTGGGTTCGACAGCAGCAGAAGGTAGATCCCATGTCTGAACTACGAATCGGTAACAAAGAGAGAGCAGCACGTCTGGAGGCTCCTGAAACACCAACACGAGGATTAAGCAGCAGGGAAGCGGTGAAGAGATGCCTCATAGATGAGGGCAACAGAGAGCCTGGCAATTCTCCTTCATCCTGTCAGGAAGATGAGCTGGCCTCCTTAAATACAGACATCGATGACTCCATTGAGCAGCTGAACCAGCTGATTCTGGACTTAGATCCCACTTTTGTTCCAGTTCCTACTCGATGTTCTCCTCTGTCCCGCTCAGCCTCTTTACAAACCAACGGCCTCAGCCACAAGGGGAAAACATATCAGTCAGGTAAGTCTAAACAAAATGATCAATCTAAGTGTTTTCGCATCTGTTATAAAACGACATTTAGACCAAAATACATTCGCTGAGGCAGGGTCATTTTATAGTTTTATGACTAATGAAAAGTTAAGGAAAATTATAAGTAACATTCCTAATTTGTTATGCTTGGACATGCAGGTTAGGTCTGTAAAATAGCATATAAAAATAAAACAAACCATGTACTAATAAAGTATGGTTAATGGATGAAAAGTCTGATTATTATTGCTACTTTGATGTCCTCAGGAATTAGCAACTTCTTTTCCAACCAAAGCTGTCTGAACACTTTACATTAGCAGTGCATTGGTAGTTGAAAAGAATGCTTAAAATCTCACTTTTTTGCGAGCAATTATTCAGCTTTATTTTTGCAATGAGAATTGAAGCAAAGTACATCATTTTCCGGACCTTCAGTTTTGATAGCTGCTGGCAATATGGTTCTTATAATGCCAGTGTAAGTGTGAGTCTGAAAATAAAGTAATACAGCATATTTTGAGAGAGATTTTAACATTTACATAAATTATATCTGTCACTTTTGTTATGTCATTTTGTCAAATTATGTTTTTTTTGTCAGTACATGGTGTATTTCTTTTGTTATGATGTCAGCGACAATGCTGCTGCATTGTGAAATAATAATTTGGAAAGAGTTTGCTGACTTAGTTCTAATGGGGAGTCTGTGAGGAGAGCTGAAGAGCTTCCAACCTCAAACTGCTGAAACTCACCTTTAATAATACATATCCACAATATCAGTTCAAAAATGAAAAAAGCACAGCTCGAAAAAAGGTCTTGATTGCTCTGCTATCAATGCATCTTCACAGATAGGTCTTATCTAGACAACAATCTGCCATAACTATGACTCATTTTAGGCTAACTTTATGCTCGGTAATGTGTCTGTTAACCACACAACCCCATGAACATAATAAACATGCCAACAAGGAGTTGTTGCACTCAAACTAGGAGATTTGTTGACATCCAAAAAACCTGCTGCTGTAGCTTTAAAAAGCAGTGCATCTTTAATGTTCTGTGTGATCTAAATGTTATAATTTGTGCCAAACATTGAGGTTTATTTAGATTCAATTGAGTCCAAAACCTTACAATACGTGCACCAGAGTTTTGCTCCTTATACAGAAAAGCCATCCTTAGTGCCAAGATGTTTTGTGCAGATAATTAAACTATGCAGAAACCATTATATGAAATTAGTCTGAAAAGCTAAATTTGAACAATTTCACCTGAGATATTTTGATAAGAGAAATACAGTTCAATTTATGACTATTAAACTGGGCTGGCACTCCGTAGGCGATGAAATATCTCAGCTGTTAACTACTGTATTTTTAAGTAATTTACTATTTTTACTGGAAAACTATTACAGCACGCCTCACTAAAAGAAATGTATTCATGGATTAATGAAGTCTGGGAACTGGATTTAACATTTTAATTCTGCCAAATCAGACAGGGAGCTTTTTTTCAGGTTTGAAATACCAGCCAATGTTTTTAAAACAGGAAATTGTGAATTAGGGTGCTGCTGGAAGGTTGGAAGCGTTTGATTGAAAAGGTAGTGGATAACTGCTCTGCCTGTGATGTACAAGTAAAGTTTTGTGTGGTACACAATGAAGAGTTTAATCTACTGTTTGCCTTCTTATACCCAGACTGAGGTCACATGATTCAGCCACGCCAAAGTAAAGTGATAAAGTGACTGTAGGAGACAGAAGGCTGATGGGTACAGAATGCAAATTGTGGTTGAATCTCATTTCAAATGTGTCCTCTCATTCTTAGCCATTGCCAAAGGAAAAGAGGGTCTGAATTGGAAATATAGAAACAAAGTGGCTAAACCAATAAATCTATTTATTATAGATTTTACTCTTATGGTACTTTTACCAGCACAAAAACCCTATTAAGGTCTGCTAAGGTAGTAGATGCTGCAACCATAAACTTCAATGCTCATCAGGAATTTATATGATATTCCAACACAAAGGGTATTTTGCAAACTGGGAAAGCATTTTTTAAAATTGAAAGTTTAAAGGTGTGGTGCATATACCTAATTAATGTTCTTCTATGAAAAACTCACTGCAACCAATTCAGTAGTCACCTTCTATGTTGTGACTGTGTAACCTGTTTTCAGGATAAATCTAGCCCCTAAGGGAAGGCGTCATATTCAAACATCACACAGAACAAAATTCAGGGAAATGTTAGGAGTACGAACTGCAAACCTGCCCAAACCCACTTAAACAACCGCTGAAACTAACTGGCTAGGAAAAGGAGAGCTTTAATCAGAGACGTAGCCCCATCCCTCTCTGGTTATAATGTAGGAGTTGCAGAGATCCACAGCTGATGTGGGAGAATCTGTTGATAGGACAACCATAAGTTGTGGACTCCACAAACATGGCCTTTATAGGAATGGTGACAAGATTGTTGTATTACTGAAAGAGGCCAGTTGTCTCCTCTGCATTTTTTGCTGAAAGCCATGTTTGATACAGAGCAATAATGTGGAATCACTTTATCACTGCTGCTTACCTTTATCAAGGCTGCACTTTAAAAAATGAAAAAGTCTAGAGAGCTGTACTAAACAAAATTTCTTTTTGTATATACTTGTGTGTACAAAATGACAAAATAATATCACTCTAAGTCTAAGAATAAATTTCTCTAGTCAGAAAGCACCAAAATAAAACTTTTAAGCTTATGTGACAAAAAAAGTTACACTGGGCAGAAAATGAATGCACTAAATACACCTCATGGATGGTGGTGGTCACAAGACCCTCTTCATACGGTTTAACTTACCTTAAGCTGCCGTATTTTAGAAACAATAAAGGGCAGAAAAATGATTTCGGCATTTCCCAAAGGATTTCATTTGCAATCAGCAGGAGGTGTTATTACAATGTAATGGGCAACTTTATATATTTACAGGCCGCATATTTCAGATTTTTCTGTCCCCCACACTGTTCTGGACTCCTTTTTGTTGGTTTATCACCTGAAATGTCCATAAATGCATTCCAGTTTGTGGTTGAAATTTGGCAAAAGGTCCTAAAGTTTGAATATTATTAGTACTATCCCACCGGGGTCTATGATGTTTCATTATTTGATATATCATAACTGTTGTTTGTCAGTTCCTTGAAAAAGGAAAGATAATAAGGATAACAGGATCGGGTAGTTGACTTAAAAACAAAAAAAGCAATGGAAGGCCTACTTTGAATATTTTGCTGATGTTAATTCAATTCTCCCATAAAGAGAAGAATAAATTACATGTTTCATGATGGCCTTATATGCGTATACATAACATGTGAGGGTATATTGGCGTCATTGCTGTTTACATACAAGAAACAAAAACATCACATCCTAAGGCATCAGCTTCTTTAAGGATTATCCCATTTCAGAGTGGAATAGTTTGGCAATAATTTGAACTGGTGAAGGACAGAGGTAGATGTGGGCATAGGGGAAGGATTAGATTGTTGTCTTGCCCTGCAGGGTATTTGGGCAGCAATAGTGGGCTGATGTTCTCAACTCAGACACAAAACAAGGCATAATTGACCCTTTTAGCACTGCAAGGCATCTAAGTAAATTAATGAGTCGCCCTTTTTGGGAAGCAGATTGCTAAATAAAGTCATTGTGAAGTCTTAGAGATGAGAAACTAGACTGCTAATTTACTGCTTACTGCTAACAGGGATATTTTTAGATTATTGCTATTGCTCATCAATTCTGTGTGAAGATTTTATATTAGCAATCTAAAGAATAACCCAAATTATGCCTTTTTGGGATACTGTTTAAGTTTCCATGCTGCCCTATCTTCCCTGTAACTGCTGCAACTAGCTAATACATGCTGAATGATGATTTTATTACATTATACCCACTGGGAAGGTGCCTTCAGGTTTATTCAGTGACCTTTGTCACAGATTGTTTTTATGTTAGCAGTGTCATATGTGGGATGTCTCCACTTTAAAGCCCTCTGCATGAAAAACAGCTGTTCAAACTGAGCTGACCCCAGAACAGTGTGAATTTGAATTATCTAGAAAATCTCAAAATTTTCAAGATTTTACAAGAATGTTCTTTGCAGTGACTCAGTCCTCTCTTCTTAGCCTCTTTCCATCAATATTTAACCTGTCATCCTTCACTTGTTAGCTTAGGCTACAACCTAGAATTTATGTGACGAAAATATAGCCTAAGTGTTTGTACATAAGCAAATCAACATGTCCAGAATTGGTGGCTGACATTTCCTGCAGGGCCTATTATAAGCCATACCTAACACTTGAGTCTGTTTATTATTACAGTGACTGTTTTTTTAGGGGATGGTTTCAAGGAGGAACTGGTAAGCGTTTAGGAATTCTTTTGAAGTTCTGACATAACACCTTCAGCCTCTCATCTTTTTGAAAAGGGTACAGTCCTGGTACAAATACGGTGGACATTAGCTGATACTTGAGACTTTCATGGAAGCTCCTTTGGCAAAACTCACCACAGGAACAGTAGCTGGATTAAATTCAGTGGCTCATTCCAGCTTTGCTTTCATGGAACCTTTAGGCTGATGAAAACAGAGCCTTTACATTCTTAGCCTCTGTGTCAGTGATTCTTAAACCTCCCAGTTTTCAACTTTCAAAATACCAGTAGAAGAGATTTCAAACCCATTATGTGCCTGGGTTTAAAGACAAACCCTAATGTTTTAAAAAAAAAGTTGTTCAAACTAAAGAAAAGTTAACAGGAATAAATGGTGTTAAAAATGCAGGTAAAGATTGCAATTAGCAGGAAAAACTGGGCAAAAAGTGTATAAGTGTAAAAAAGCTTGATTACTGAGCAAGTTCTGTACCACCTTCATGCATCTGGTGAAGCCATTGTCCCTCTAGTTTCGTAAGCAAAATATTTCTCCTCCACTTGCTATTCCAACCACAACACCTCAAACACATCACATATACCAAAGAGTTTTCAAAACTGACTTTGGAATAATCCAATTAATATATGTGCTTAAGATGTTTTCACACGTTCCCCACCAATTTCAGCCTAATTTCAACTCTGTGAACAACATCCATACTTTTATTATCTTAGCAGTAGAATATGTATGTTTTTTCTTTAGATAGTGCAGAGAAAGCCAGCTTTTGCACTAATTCTACCATGAGGAAGCACACTGTGAGCACAACTTGGGAAGTGAGGTCAGAAAAAACATTGCAAATAAAATATAAAACCAGATTTTCACCGATTATTTTATTCCAAGGCTCTGAAGATTAGCATTTTTATGGCTCAAACTGCAGCTTATTTAAAATGATGGTAAAAACGTGTGAGCGGTGACTACGCTTTGCTCCTCATCTCCCTTATTTTGATTATTTTTGCAATTCAAATCATAACTTTATTCTGTCTTCCCAAAACCAAACAAATCTCATTTTTGTGCTGGAAAATGAGCAAACATGCATATTTTGAACAACCTCTGCATAATTCTGAGCTTGGAGGACTAGATTGTAACCATATCTAAGAAAAAAACCCTAATTTTTCCAGCAGATGTTTTTCAGACGAGACACTGCACTGTTCCACCATCTGTTTGCCGTTCATGCTCTCTTAGTCACACAAGCTTTGACTCTGCTGATAAAACACACGGATAGAAGGTTCCGTCAAAGACAAACAAGTCAAACAATAATCACTGTCATCAACCTTTATTGCTCAGTCAGTATCTTTCTTTTTTAACAAGGTGAGTTTAGGTTAATGTCATACCGTTTTTTTTAAGAGAGCCAGACTGTGTGTGTAAAAGTGAGTAACAGCAGCACATGACTGAGTCTAAAATAGATTGTCTGTGAGATTATAATCTGTTTTATTTTCTGCTTCCCATCCTCATCTCTGTCTTTATCACAATTCTCCTGATCAGGGTGGAAACAGCAGAGATATGTCAGCGACGTGACAGACTCTGCTGCTCCAAAGAGTCCAGGATGGAGGGGGGCTGGATCTCAGAGCTTCATAAATTCCCCAGCTAACAGCAGCTCCTTTTTAAACTCTCAGGTAAACTTAGTTTCACACTGACTGACTGGCTGTCAGGAATACAAATAATGTGTAAATAAATCTTTTGCAGAGAGTTGAAAAAAATGTGTTTACTGGCAAGTTGTATGTATTTTTGCAGCCATTACACATTAAATATGGTGCAAAGTTATGTAAATTAATATATCAGGAAACATTTGGGGTTAATGAGATATTTTAACTTTATCTCAGCTTCTTCTGAATAAATTTTGGCCCTGAAGAAACATAAACTTAATACATTTTTGTTAACAACTGCAGATAAAAAGTGGCCTACCTGTAGCTGCAAAAGAAACAAAAAAAATAAATAAATAACAATAATAAAAAAATTTTTTTAAAGTAATTTTTGAAGAGATTACAGCTAAGCCTTTAGCTTTGGATTAAGGTTTTTGGAATGACTCAAAGGAAATACTTTTTGTAATGCTTCAGTGGTGTTTATGTTTTTATATTATGATGAAAAACCATTAAGATTGTTAGACTGAATCTGACTGATGATAACCCATTCTGGTCAAGAAAGAACTCTAAGTCAATCTTAGTTTGTGGCTGTCTTTTTGCACCTGCTTTTGGTATTTCATAATATATATACTGACTCTTCTCACTATTGATCCAAAATGTCAATGTTCCAATCCTTTAATGCTGATAATCATATTTAGCTTGTGACACAGCGCATTGTACAAAAACAGATTCTCTCTGCTGCCTGATTATGTTTGGATCCCTCTTGTTAATCATTTTAGTGCTCTTGGGCATGCTTCATCGTTAGCACCACTCAAAAACAATTTGAAAACTCAATCTCACCTTTTCTTCTTGAGATATTCCAAACAATCAAAAGGAGAATTCTTCAGTTTTTCATTGGTTTCCGTTTCCACCCTTAGACTTAAACGATTCCGTTCTCTTGTTCTTGTTCATATGTCTGTACCTCACTGTGTAGACAAGTCTCACATCAAGCTGAGACCATCTTTTAAGAAAGTTCTGCAATGGTACCAACCTCATTTTTTGTGTCCCTTTTCAGCAGAGGCAATCCTAGAGCTTAATGCGCTGGGGTGTCCTGAATCATGTCTTCTTGAAACAAGCAGAAATACTTAATGCATTTTTTCTGTATGTGAGTCAATTTTAAAGCAATGACTGCAAACATGCCTTTATGGGTCTCTTTGGTTAGCTCAACAGGAATATACATCTCAAGAGCTTCTGTCACCCCTTTAGGGTAATTAGTTGATAGTTTAATATCAGCTGGACTCCTGACTGTAATACAATTCCCTGATCATTTGTGGTAACAAAATAAAGTTAAAATGAATTTCTTTTATAAAGCCTTTTAAGCTCTTCACCAGCTTGATTTAATGTGGATCTAGTTCATTGCTCTATTTTTAAACATCACCTTAGTTATCTAAAGGAACCCCTTTCGGTGTCACTGACTGTTTTGCTTTCTCTGCCTTTTCGTTTTGGAAAGTCTGGACTTTTCTTTCACCCAGCATTTAGCCTGTGTTGCATGAATGGCCCGAGTGTTTAGACCAAAACACAGATTGCAGCCACACACGGATCACAAGACTGATGTCTGCTGTTGTGTGCTTGTGTGTGAGGGGGAGGCTGTCACCTCTTAACACTTAATAAAGAAACATCTCCTGTTCGGTTTCCCCTCACCTCATTCTCTGTACTTTTCGTTTTAAAGCATGGTCAGCTCTATAAAACTACCAGTGTGGATTTCCGCGGACAAGTAGACAGCTCTGACTTCATCCCAGCGACTCCAGCTTTCCCAGTGTCTCCTCAAACACCCTATGGTAAGAGATTATGAAAAAAATAGTCCCTGTGGCCGTGGGTGTGTCTGCATTTGGAAGTCTTATCAGTCTTTTTCCTTTTCTTTCAGTGAAACATTTCTCTGAGATTTCCCAGCTCGGTGGTGGAAGACAGTGGGACCAACACAGCTGGACACAAGGTAGACTTTTTTAAAGTTAGTGTATGGCCAGATACTGTGCTTTAAAAATGGATCCATACCTTTTTTTAATTCCATTTGTTGCACATAAACCCTCAACCTTCCAGGCTCAGTGCTTTGCAGAACCAGAGTGGCTGTGTTTTAGTGTGGAGGGTATTCAACATGCAATTGTTTGATTCCATCTTCCACAACCTGTCAATGTGCCCTTGGGCAGTGCTCCTAGGCCCCGTCCACACGAAGCCGAACCCTGGCCTAAACGCACAAATTTTTAACCAAACCAGCCTCTCATCCACACGA